TTTGGAAGCCAGCATATAAAGGGTTGTAGATTGACTCTGAATTTATTTGAATAATACATTTTACCTATTTTGAGTTGCTTGTGAAGCATATGACTGTAATTAACAATCTGACTTGGAAAATAAATTTGGAAATGGGATCCAACTTCAAACCAAATCTCTATGCAAACTGATAAATAAATTCCTATAAACTAATTTTATAAGCAAACAGCTACATATTGATGTTTCACAGGGAAGTTAAAGGACATATTGACACAGAAAGTTCATATCCTGTAGTACATAACAAGATAGCAGGAAGCAGTACTGAGCAGTCTTTTACATAACTCAAAAAAAGGCCTGGACCTCAGAATAGGGAGTCAGCTGAGTATACTGAGATGGTTCTGCTATTAGCAATGTAAGCCATAATGAGCTAGCTAATTGGAGCATCTTGTCTGTACTATACTCTGTATCACTTGTATGCATTCAAATCAATTTTATGCAGGCATTAGCTGAATATACAGGTAGTCCTTGACTTACAACCATTTGTTTAGTGGCCATTCAAAGTTACAACAGCACTGAAAAAAGTGACTTATGACCGCTTTTCACACAACTGTTGCAGCATACCCATGGTCCTGTGATCAAAACTCGGATGCTTGGCAACTGGCATGTATTTACAGTTGCAGTAAATGTGAAAGGTGAAATGTGATCACCTTTTATGACCTTCTGACAAGCAAAATCAATGGGGAAGTCAGATTCACTTAACAACTGTGTTACTAATTTAACAAATGCAGTGATTCGTTTAATAAATGTAGCAAACAAGGTCATAAACTGGGACAAAACTCACAACTGTCTTGCTTAGTAATGGAAATTTTGGGCTCAATCCTGGTTGTAAATCCTGAACTACCCATATAGCAATGCCTATATGGGAAAATTATCCTGAATATTTTTCTGATAAAAACATACAGGATCATTTATTGCTTGTCTTTTTTTCCCAAAGAAGGAGTGGGGAATGAAATTCTCCTGGGTAAAATATGATAGTTTGACATTATCTTATTAGGCAGCGAGAGTGTCCTGTCTTTCACTGACCACAGTCTCATCTCCAGCACACTGCAGCCCTCCCAGGATTCAGTTCAGTTCAGTTCTTCAAGGAAGGCATCAGCAAACAATTCCTCCCACTGGTTTTTTTTTTTCAGAAAAAAATAATAATGGATTATGTTGGCAAACAGGGAGGTTTTGATGTGATGCTTTCAGATCTGTAATAGCAACAACAACAGTGGCCTCGACCACTTCCAATATTAAGACAAATCACTATCAAGAGATATTTGAAATACTCAAGTCTTCTGAGAAGAAGATGGGAAAACAGAAATCTCTTTCATAGAGCAAACAAACTTTCCTAGGTAGTTTCAGGGAAGATTTTTGGCAGAGATTTAATGTCAGGCAACACATTTTTTCAGGATCAGTTGCTGGCCAATCAATATGAGCATAATAGTATCTGTGCATTTAGGAGGATTAGTGAGTACTCAAAGCTAACTCCTCAGCATGAAAAGTAGCAGGCTGAGATTTGGTTTAGGTCAGGACTTCAGAAATGTTTCCAGCAATATTTTTCAAACTTGGCAATTTTGTGTGGACTTCAATTCATAGAATTCCCAGTCAGCATCTTAAAATTGCCAAGTTTGAAAAACTCTGCTTGAAACTCTCCCTTCTTCTTGGCTATGGTCATAATTCTGATTCCTTCCTGAGCATCCAAAAACCTAGCTGCCTTCCATATTAAAACAACCCTTTTTTTTAATGCTGGTCCATAGTTTCTCTTTTAGACTCTTAGAAGAAATTCTTGGTCTGATTCAAGCTGGGTTTTCCAAAGAACACACGACAGCTGTTAGAAAGCAGGACAATAAAGGAGAATGTTTGTAGCTCAGGGTTGAAATGAGAGTGTACCCAAACTAGGTAACATCATCAGTGCTTGCAAATGTTTCATTACCCAAACTAGGATGATGTTACCTAGTTTGGGTAATGAAACATCTGCAAGAAAACAACCAAGCTCAGAGAGCACCAAGGACCCCTCAGAAGAACAAGACAAACAGTCACAATAATCAAAGGTGGTTACAAGTTTAAAAGCAGTTATTTTTATAGAGGAGTCTTTTGGTTGTTCCTAGAAAATGTGTGAACTTAGCCTGCCTTATCCAGTAGAGAGTAAATGTGGTTTTGCTTTCTTGTGAGGTTTTCCCATTTTTATCATTTGTAAGTTGAAGTGGTGACCTCAGGATAAAGGTTTTATGTGAGGAAATCTATTATAGAAATGAAGAACTTTCAGTATCTAGAGGGGATCTTCTTTGTTTAATTAAGTTGCTGGTATCTGCCAATTTCACCTGTCTAAGATGAATTTCGGCCAAGGTGTCAAAAAGGCTTAAGCAGTCTTTTGGTTCTGATATCTGGGATTCACTGGGAGGTCAGGGAGGAAAGAGGGCAAGGGGTGGCATGGGGCTTTGGCCTCCCTACAAGGCCTTTATATTCCCAATGTATGGAAGAGTCGAACAGAACAGCCACATACTTCCTACTTGAAACAAACTGCTTAGTTAACTTTTTTTTTTTTTTACATGAGGTGTTGAAATCTCACCCACTGAGAAGCTCAAGTCACCTGGAGTAAGCTGAGAATTGTTGTTGAATATAGCATTTCAATCAGGAATTGACATTTTTGATCTCCCAGTAGGTGGTAGCAATATTGAAGACAGCAGGAGCACCAGACATACCTCTGCAGAGGCCAAAAAAAAAAAACCCTATTCCCTTCCTTGCAAAGGCGGGCGTATGGCTTGAAATGTGAATTCTGACATTTTGCTTCATTTTGCTTTTGCTTTTTAAGGGGAAAACAATTGTTTGAAACAACACATTCTGCCCTCTGATTTAGTTTTATTCTAACTTTGCAAAAGACAAATATAGTTTTCAGAATGTCAGATAAGGCATGTATATAAAATGGTCCTATTAATTTATTTTGCATTTACTCATCACTGGAAAATTGAATGCTTTAAAAATATATTTATATAATGTTGAATGGAAAAGGCATAAAAGCCAAGAAAATAAAAAATACAGTAGAAATAACCCATAGTTTTGAGTATATATAAATTTAAAGAATGCAAAATTTTAAACATTCATGTTTCTATTCTTTTGTATATACAGTACAACATAGTTTTTGAAAAGTTAATTGCTTTGATATAACTAAAATTTGAAATAGTAAAATTATCCTTAATTACTGTAAATAATCCTTTGAGTCTTTTAGCCCTTGTGCTATTTGAGGGTGCTGTATTGGCTTCCAGTAAGTTTCTGGATATTGTTCAAATGTTGGTTTAAATTTTTAGAACCTAAATAGTTTAAGCTCCTAGATACTTGCAGCATCACCTCCAGATAAGAACTGATTCATTTATTTCCCTCATATTAGTTGGGGATATCCAACTTCCGAATCTATGAGAGTTGAGATCTATAGGAGCTTAGAGGTAATGCTTTTCTGTGATGCCTCCCCTAGATGAAATAGCCTCCCACTGGAGGTCAAACTGGCCTTTCAAAAAGCTACTCAGATGGAGTTAAAGCAAGGGTTTAAAAACTAATGTGTGTGTTTTTGCCAATGCATTGTAATGTTTATTCTTAGTGGATTTGTAAAGTTTTAAACTTTACTGCATTATTTTTCTGTGAATGTATACTATTCAGAGCCGTATAATTTCAATAGTATGTAAATAGAACAGATAGACAGACTGAACTAAAATCAATCAAGCCACTATGAATTGCTTCAGTCTAATAAGGGGTGTCAAACTGCCGGCCCATGGGCCGGATGCATCACAAGGAAACCGCACCCACCCCATTGCCAACAATGGGGAAAAAGTTCCGATACATCGCACAACATCACGTGATGTTGCGAATTTGACATGTCTGGTCTAATGTGTCAGCCGAATGGTAGGATTCCTAAGCAGATAGTCCCATCCAAGCATTGATCCACATTGTTTCACATTACTAAGCTGCTGCAATGTAACTTCACGTTATGCCATAGGACCACAATGGTCTGGCTCTACATGCAAGTCATCACTGATGTTGCATCATCTTTCAGAGATCATGTATGAATGGACCCACCCTTTTATTTTGCTTTGCTTTGCTTCTATTAAGCAGTACCTTTTTACACTTAAATTGCTATGTTTAGTTTCCATTAAGGCAGTGAAATGTGGTTATATGTCTCAGTCTCCACTGAATCCCTTGGAATGGAGGATAGGGTAAATTTTCTTGGCAGATCAAAACATCTGATTCAGGCTTTCAGTGCTGAAATTGAGAAACATCCCTTCAATTATAACAGGTGACATTTGACATGTTTTGACATCCAGTACAGCTTTTAGCATGGGTATTATGGCAGAGGAGTTTAAAGTAACATACTGTAAACAATATTTTCTATATTAAGTAGCCTGAATATTTTTTCCTGGGTATGTTTGTCATAGGAAGGCATGCCTTTAGTTATAATATCTATTACTTAGGTGGGTGTTGAATTCTTTATGAATTATTTTTTATAAATGGTTCAAGATCCTGCAAATACTGAGGGAGCAAGAAGGAGATCTATTCTTGTTCATAATGGACTCTGATTATTATTTTGTGCATAAGGCTTAAGCTGATTTATCTTTCTATGTGGGATAGATTTGTATGAGTTTAAGGCTTTGATATTATGAAAATATATTTAATTGTATTTGATGAATTAATCGATAAATTACTTAGATGGGAAATGATTAATGGGACAATGGATCTTATTGAAAATCATTGCAGAATATAAATATACCACATACTGTACATTTTTTCACAAAAAGGAAAACACCATTGCTTCTTTGAATATAACAGATATATCTGTAGAAAATAATGGTTGCCCAGTATTAAAACAAAATTATGCAGCAGTCCCTGACCCCAAAAGAATTGTTAAAAATAGCTTAAATTTGTTTTGAATGTTTGCCTTAAAAAAGATAGTGAAAGATACTGCAGTAATTCCAAACCATTATTTGTTGCAGATATAAACATGGCTGGAGAACCAAAGCCCAACAGACCAAAAGGACTAAAGAGAACAGCATCTGCCTTGTACAGGTAAGGTTGATGAGGATTTTACCAGGGATACTCATCACACCTGTATTTAATCATGCATGATGGCAGCCTATCAGAACCTGCTATCTTAGGCTGCAGCCCTCAGAATTCTTCAGTAGCCTCACTTCAGTAGTGAGAAATAGGCCTGATATCTTTTGGCCTCCAGAATTGTAGAATGCAAACCTGGAAAACAAGTAAGCTTATTTGGCAAATAAATGGGTCTTTGAGCGAGGTTTCCAGTGCATAGGTCATCCATGCAGTTGGCAAAGGCAATAAAATTCAGACACCGGCAAGTGGCATATGGCAGGAGTTTGGAAGCAAAAATTAGGAGAAGGGAATGAAAGAGGGAAAGGGTTGAGCAAAAAGAAGGACTTTCTGACAACAGGGGCAATTAGTGTCAGGTTTGAATATGGTAGGGCATAAGGATGATTCTGTCAATGCAACTGATAGACTGCAATGGAGGAGTAATATAAGGGTCATAGCTCCTAAATTTAACAAAAAAGAAGAAAGTGGGAAGTGTTGAGGCAGATGTTGGGGAGGGTGATGGCAGAAAAGAGATTTGTTTATCCAGATTGTTTATCCAGAAATAGATTGAACATTATAGAAGATAACAGTGATGGGCAGCAAGCAAAATGAGGAATCAGATGAGGGTAGAACTTAGCAGAGACCTTAAGGAATAAGCAACAGAATTTAGCATCATTGAAAGTGACAGGCAGAAATCTGAGACTTCAGGAACCCGATTTGGATCATAAGACAACAGCAGGAGAGAAGCATGTAAACAGATAAGTCAGCCAACCCTTGTTCTCTCCAGGTATATAACACTATAATGCACGGAAGCAATAAGCCATGGAAGGGAATAAGAGTGATGAATAAAAAGTTAATGACAAAGAAGACCTGATGATGATAACTATAAGAAAGGATAAGTCAAAACATTAGGTTAAATGACTGGATCATCTTGTCTTTCCTCCACAATTTTTTCCATCTTATGTCTTCAAAATATTATAGCAAATATCAAGCTAGCTGGGAATTCTGAGAGTTGAAGGCCAATGGATATAGAAAATACAGTATACAAATATTTGCATACCTTGATTTTGGCATGCATTAAAGTAAATAGCAAGATAGAGAATTATTTGTTAACATAATTGCGATGCTAATTGTGTAGTTTGGTACTGTATAACTAAGAAGTAGATTTTAGGTTGGGTTCTGCCAAATAGTTTCTGCATAATTATAGCCAAGCAAAAAACTAAATTATCTTCCCCCAATTCCAGCTACATCACAGTTTATGTAAAAACATTTACTGAGGTTTTCATCCTTTACCCATCACTGTTACCAAGCAGCAGTCTTGTCAATAACTTTTTCCATTTTGCTCTTTCATCATATTTATTACTTCAGATAAATATTAGTTGCTCCTTCAGGCAGCTCTACAAAAGGAAAAAGTTCTGAAGATTAAAGGGAAGGCATGTTCTGCCTTGTTTTTATCATCCTTGTTTTTCTCAGCCCAGAAGGATGTTTGGCTTCATCCTTGTTATGTTCCCTTCACCCAGCTAGACAGACATATCAAACACTTCCATTACTAAAGGCTGAATAAAATGTAATCATGTGTAATAATAAATAATATGCCAAATTGGGGCACTTACACTAAGGTGACCAACTGTCCTCCTTTAGGGAGGACAGTCTTCCTTTTGTGAGTTCTATCCTCCCTCGAAAAGTGTCCTCCTACATGTCCTCCTTTTCGATATTTGAAGACTAATCTGCAGGGCTTTTTCTTCTCATAGAATGCTCAGAACGGCGTTCCGGCACCTTTTTTATGGTTTTTTTTTTCAACTTTTGCATGAGCTGTGCTACTCCCCTTATTGGCTTTTGAAAGCCAATAGGAATTGCTGCTGAGCGTGCCAAAACACCCGGCCGACAAACTTTGCACATGCAAGTTGTCTGCAGCGAAGGCAAATTAGCAGGAACTTTGCACCCCTCCCTGCTACCCAACTACACCATCTCCTAGTTAGTCCTGAAGATACCTGGAGAAGACTGGAGCGGTGACACCATGGTACCTTTTTCTTGATCGGCCCTGCTAGGGCAATAATGGTTGTGGGCGCAAGAGGCAGGGGTGGTGGGGCTGCTGCAGGCAAGGGGTGATGGGCGGCAGTGGGCGGCTGCCACCTGTGCTGTGGGAGTCACAGGGCTGCGCAGGGTAGGCAGTGATGCTGGCGGGGTGGCTGCAGGCGGGGTGTGTTGATGGCAGGCTGCCCCCCCCAGGGCCGGAGCTGGCACAGCTGGTGCTTTGGGAGCTGTGGGGCCCACTCTACACAGCGGGGCAGCAGTGCTGGCAGAGCAGCTGCAGGCAGGGGCATGGCATGTAAGCATAATTACAATATAAAATGTTATTGTTACAAATGTTTTTTATTTTGCATTTATCATATTATAGTGTATTCTGTATTATTGTTGCAATGAATAAAATGTTTCTTTTATTTACGATTTTTTTTCTTCAATTTATTTGTGTCCTCCTTTTCATTGTAAAAAAGTTGGTCACCTTACTTACACAAGTATACGTTTTTCTCACTTTTTAGCGGATCTCATGAACATGTCAGTACAACACACTTGCTATAGCCATAGCAGCAGGACAATATGATTAATGGCATTGAGTACTACTGTTAAGATACTTATTTAGCTGTGGGCACATCAAAAATAATTGCTCTGATCCCTATTTGTTTTGTGATTTAATTTAACTCTACAGTCCCCTACTGAAATGTTACAGTAGAGTAAAAGACAATGTAGTTATAAAATAGCATATTAGATGGAACAGGTAATGTTCCAGGTGGTTTACATGGATAATTTTGAATTCCTCAATATTTTGAATTCTGTGATTCTAGATGAATAGAAAGGGAGGATATTTTCTGATCAAATCCATTCTCATAACTACTATATTAAAGTGATGACCATATCCATTGTTTTAAGACTCATGGGTCAATTAAAGCCATTTGTGCTGATGGAGCATTATATTTTGAATATTTACATATTCATAAAATAATCATTTTGAAAAAATCTGTTTACATTATTTCTTCAAAGAAGATACTAGCCTGATGTTAGAACAGCATGATTATAGGAGGTAGTCCTCTTATAACATCTCTCTGCTTCCTGTAATTATTGAATATCCTTGTATTACAAATAATCAACATTTGCTTAAAATTGGTGAACAAGCTGATCAGAGGCACTCTTTTGGCAAACTGAAAGGTTTTTAATTTTCTAGTTGTCTAATACACTAACAATTATAATTTTACTAATTGCATTAAGTTTTATGTCATCTTTGATTAAGAGTGACAATTGTAAATGTAAATTGAATGTACTAATGGATTTTATGGAAAAATATCAAAGGGCTGAAGCAAAGTTTTCTATAAGTTTGAGACTTGGTCAAACAATCTATGCTGAAAGATCTTATAAAACTATGCTGGATTCTAATCAAATATCTTCAACTGGCAATTTCTTATCTAGCCAGATGGAATAACCTCAAACTAAGCACAGCATGGTTAGGCTAGAATGAACCTGGATGAAAGAAAGCTGATCTGCTATAAATAAATCCCTTGGCGCTAAATGTACCATTAAGGAGTCTGGATGAATTCATTCTTTCTGAAGTCCATTGTGAAACAACCCGATCTGCCAGATGAATTACAGATTGGGAAAAGGTATTCACTGCCTTATGCCCTCTCAAAGCAACAACACAAAAAGCCCAAAATCAAAATACTTTGGAATAATGGCTATATTTAGAGAATATGTTCTTAATTATGTCTTTACATCCATGTTGAAATGGAAATGTTCTTGTAGACTTCTTTTTAAAATATTGCAAACCAGTCAGAAAAACATTTATGGTTGAGGATATGCATAGGTTATATTGTCTTGAAATACACTTTCTCTATCTCTAGTTAGAGTTAGTTAGTAAGTTAGTACCACAGTTCTAAGTATATTATTTTGAAAGTAAGGTCCAAAATATTTATTTCATTCCTAAAAAAGTAATTCAGCTGACAAATGGCATTCAATATTTTCAAGATTGAGGACTGCATTTCTCCCAGGAGAATCTATTGGCAGCCATCTAAGAAAAACATCTAAGAAGCAGCATCTAAGAAAAACAGAGGGTAGTGGGTGAGCACACCGATTGTTTCTCAGACATCTCTTCTTCTCCTGCTCCAGCAATTCTAAGTAGCAGGCTGCCACAGAAGAGAGAAGTGGCTCTTATCAGAATTCTGATTTGATTTCCCATGTAGGGGCTTTGCAATTAATCTGAGATCACAGAGCATTAGCCTAAAGATGGCATGCGGCTCTAAGGCTACATGATGATCATTCTTCTCTCAATAGGTAATAAGGATTAGATTGTACCAGTACCAGCAGGCAAATCTTCCCTACCTTTTCCTTTCTTTCCCTTCCCCATTCAGGCAGTATCATAGATTCATTCTCTCTTCTGTTCATCATTTCTCTCTCTCTAAATGCACACTCAGACTCCATTTTTCCTTCACTCATTTCCCATTCTTTTCCTCTGTCTCTTATGCACTATGGCTGGATTTTCATACTACTCAAAACACTAATCCCAGGCTAACACAACTTGATTTCAGTGTTTGCTTAACAAGTTTTGTCCAAATATATCAACCATGTTACTGTATAACTAAAAATGTTGGGCTGGCTCATGCCAAGAATTCTGCAGCTACTTCCCACAATACTAATTATGTGCCATTAAATGGGTGTTGACTCTTAGCATCAATGACTTTATGGATACATCCCTCCTGCCACCTGTGGAAGGTCAAAGTATCCAGCCCATTTTAGTTTATCTAGTATGTTGTATGAATCCAGCCAGTGAGGCATAAACCATAGAACAAGAACAAATATTCTTAGGGATATTTTGACCACACTGTTTTACCCCAGTCTCTTATTTGAAATGTCCAAGTTCTCATGGACAGGAAACCCATTAGACTTATATGGAAATTCTCCAAAGTGTTAGACCAGTGTTTCCCAAACTTGAC